GGGGGGTCCGAAAACCAGTCAGTATCTGGTGTGAGGGTTAGGATTAGGGTTAGGGTTAGGGTTAGGGTAATGTTGTGAATTGAGTGGCCCATGGTGGTGGTGGGGTTGCGTTTATATTTTTGTTCAGTGTAGATACTGCAGACTCCCCAGATTGAGCTACAAAGACAAAAAAGATTCCCCCTACACTCAGCAGTATAGCATATTACACTACAGGAAAACAGAACGTTATATTTGATATATTCCTCTACCACAATAACCTTTGGAAAGTCAAAACAACAACCGATCTCGATCGCGTCATAGTGTTCCTCACGATCATTTCTCGTACGAAAAATTTGATTAGGAAAAATAAGTATGCTAACTGACACATCACTGGTTAGTAATCTGCCATGAACATCAGAACACACTTGTTTTTAGTGAAGTGTACGAAAAATGTAATTGTTTCTAAAATGAAGTCTCTGAAATCTCACTATCTGGCAATGTAATATGTTTTTTCAGAATTGAAATTGAAAAAGTGACTGGTTGTTTCACATATTCACATTAAAACTCTTGCATTGTGCAGATAGAATGAGTTCAGGTCAGGATAACAGGGCAGCCCTACTTCACCAATCCTCCTCCAGACCAGAGACACATGATTGACAGCAGCTGATGGGAGGAAGGGGGCAAAGCCACTGATCTTTCCATCAGATACAGATACAAGGAGCAAGCACTTTCCTCATTCTCAGCAAATTATCTCAGGCATAGTTATTTAGTTTCTTGCCTTCCAAACTTTTTTGAGAACTTGAAATGATGCTCCCTCCCAAGAGATTACTTTTATATCTTTGGCATTTGCAGTGAAATGTGCAGCTCTATCAACCCCGAACTCTGTAACACAAACTTAATTATAAACAAGTCCTTCATGGCAGTTTACCAATACTTTTTTTGTTGCTTTTATTGGATGCAAGCCTGGCAGGAAGTAGGCTGTTTGGGTTTGTAGTGGTGGCAGTTTAGGTTAAATGATTTGTCAGTGACTAATGATGTAAAGAACTATTTTTGGCATCCTTTTAGCTCCTTAAAAAGATGTTTGCATCTTTCGCGTGCAAAAAAGTTGATTTAATTCAGCCTTCATTAGTAATTAATTAGCTTTAACAGCTTTTTTTAACTGTGTCATTTCAGGAAAGGCTCTCTGGGAAGTTTCTGTTCAACGACATTTAGATGTAAGTTTCATGTGTTACGTAACTGTGCTCAACACTTTTTCCTTTTTTTGATGTGTCTTACAGGGCAATCAAGGCAGAGGTGTATGACTGGGACAGAGACGGGAGGTAATGGATGCACACGCACGCACGCACGGACGCACGCACGCACGCACGTACATGAATACACTATTTAGTGACATCCTTTTGCCATTCATCAGACTCTTATGATATTTTTCACATTTCTGCACAATTAAAACTTTAAAGCTCTTTCACTTTTAATTCTTATATAGCCTACTGTAAATGTTTTTGTAATTCTACATTTCAATTTATCTTACTGTCATTATGTATGCATCATCATTAACTAAAGCAAATGTCTTTTATTTGAAAACCTACTGGATAATATCCTCCTCAATAAATTACATTTTCATCACCTTCATAAATCTTTTCTACTAACTGTATTCTGTGTTTACCTCTCAGGGTGTTACCTTCTTTACCTGAATGAATTTTGTCTCTTTTCTCAAGTCATGATTTCATTGGTGAATTCACCACCAGCTACAAAGCGCTCTGTCGAGGTCAAAACCAGTTGAACGTCCACGAGGTGAGTTCAGATAAAGGCAGCATGTCCTAAACATTTGTGTTTAATTTCAGAGGGAAGAGGCTTTTAAAATATATAATAATTTTACATCTCATATTAACTTAAAGTTGACCTCACTGTTGAGTATTTTAATTACACGGCACTATGTCTAGAAGATTGTTATTCTTCATCCTGTTCTTTTTTGTGCTATTTTAACTCCTGTCAAGTATAATTCAGGTCACAATATAAAACATACCTCTCCTAATGTCTAATTTTCAAAGCCTACTGTAGGCCTTATATCCAGTTCTGTGTGTCCATATGCCTTACTTATGGTGTTCGAATCAGGTGAAGCACATATTACAACTGCACAGAACTGTACGCAACCTTTAATGACTAGCCTAAAAGCTCACTTTATGGGAACAAGAAACACACTTCAATTCAAGTCCAAATCAGAACATCCTTCAACTCAGCAAGTCATCCAAAGTGTAATGACCTCAGGAGGCTCTGGTTGTTAGAGTTGTTAGAGTTATGGCTATTTGAGATCAACAGCTAGCGTCCTCGGCCTCTCCTCACCTTGCACAGCATTAAGCATCTGAGAAGTGGTGCAGCTGACCGGATGAGGAAGGGTGTTTCTGCGGGGAGAATACAAATGGGAGTGCAACATATTGCTGCTGATTACAGTTTTTTTGGGTTGGTCCTTGGAGGGTAACATTGGGTATTACTGTTCAGTGCTCCGGGGCTCCTATCGTTCCCTGCTCATTAAAACACTTGCCATTTTACATTAGCTTTTGAATTAGTCATGGAGGTGGCTTAAGGAAAGAACAGGGCCAACAAAGAGTTAGAGGGTTGTGGTAAGATGGAAATAGGCAAGGAGAGACCAAGTGCGAAAGAGAGACAGAATAGTGAGTGGCATGCAGAGTTGCCCTTTCCCATTGCTGATATGGCCGATGAAGGTGCATCCATTACCCTTCACCAAACACCTTTGTATTTTAATTAGAAAGTAAAACACAGAAATTCCTTCATTTATTCTTTTCCAGGTCTGTGCTCTTGAATCAATTTCAAGATGTGGTCAAAAACAACAACCTCTTCACCATTGACAAATAAAGAATCACAACTTTTCAGATTCCCGTGTTCTCAACCTGACATGCAGGGGCCTGCAAACATTAGCTGTGTGAGTGAGGATGACAGCAGGCTAATGCCAACAGAGCCTGATGTCCTTAAAGGTGGTGTCTGTGTGACATGGTGTGAACATGGAAAGACTGATGGCTGCCAGGGATTCACGATGATACCGGCAGATCATCCGCAGATAAACACCTTCAAATTTGATATGGTCAGGAGAAATAATTTAGTAGGAAAAATGTTTCTATTGTGTTTTAACATGTTACATCAGAATAAATATATCTTAGTTGAAGTATGTTTCATTATTTTCCCCAAAGAACTTGTACATTTTAAAAAGCATTACATTTAATGTCTGCATCTCAATAACAGCATAATATGTTAACTGCTCTGAATGAGGGACCTAATGCTCTCTGCAATTAGTTTAAAACTAAATATGTGGTGTACCAGTTTTAGTATTTGGCAACGGTCAAAAGAAGTAAGAAAACATTGACGTATCGGATGTCTGCAGAAATCCAATATTGTGAATCCCTAATGGCTGTGGTGCTGTGAGGCATCATCTGTGTACCTTTTACTTTATTTACAGCACAGTTCCCTCCAGGCTTGTGCTTCATAGTATGTTTTTATGCAGACCGGTGGAATAAGTAGTAGAGATTTTGGATTACGATAGCTTACTGTTTGACAAATGTTTTTGCCTGCAGGTTCTAAAAAATATTCAAGTACCTTTATCATTTAACATCAGGTCTTCCTGCTTTTCACCTTTTTATATTTGTTTTTTTTTACGCATTTTCCCACATAGCACATTGTTCTCCACTGGTACATTTCTACAACTGAATCTAAATGTGATTATCATTCTGTTTGTCAACAGTGAATCATTGCTAAAGATATATTTGTTCCACTATCCCCACCTTTGGTAATGTGGCTTGAAAAATGTACAGCGCAGTGCAGGTGCTTACGAATCCCCCTGGATAATCAGCTGCTAGGCATGATCAATGCTATCTCAATTCTCCCCTCCTGCAGTTATTGGATTCGGTCGCTCTGCCCCATTATCCTTACAGACATGGAGTAGTAGGACAAAGATGTTTTTATTACTTGCCTAAGGGTGGATAACAAGAACTGTGCTGAAAGTTTATATAATCATCATTCTTCTTTTCTATTCTGCCTTCATACCAGGTGGTGAATGCAAAGAAGAAAATAAAGAAAAAGAGATACATCAACTCTGGGACGGTGAGACTGACTTCTGAGATAAGAGCATTTCTCCCGTTGCACTCACACCCCGACATTTGCTTTTTATATCTCGGGGAAGTTTTCTCTCAATGGACTGCATGAGGCAGTTCTGCTCTGTTAAATGTTTTTTTACATTCCCAGTGTTGGGGCTTATGATCCAGACAGTACATTTAAGTACAAGGGAAAACATTCTCCTGACCTGAAACGGGGTGAAACGCCAAGTCCCTAGTTATGCACAATGGATCCTCTTGTCTGTGTCCTATGAGTGACGAGAAGTGATGGATGTTAATAAATGAGCCAGGTTTCTTTTAGTGCCTGAGTACTTTGGCTGCTCTTGTTGTATGCGTTGACTCTGTAATTAAAATCGGTGGCTAATTATCCATCACAACGATTATCAATCAGCGCACAGGCAGGCTGATGTTCTCTCAGTGATTGTAATACTAATATGCTTCCAGTGCGTCAAAATCATTCTGCATGGATAAGTCATTTTGTAGGTGGTTAGCTCAGAGGTCAGTGTTAATGTGTAGATTGGTAGATTTGGTTTTCCCTAATTACAAAGCATGATAATCAGTTTCAACTTTTTCTTTCCCTCAGGTGTCCTTGTTGTCATTCAACGTGGAGTCAGAGCACACCTTCCTGGATTACATCAAAGGAGGGTGAGTGTAATGTTTGTCTGGTGATGATATGACTGTTTGTATTTGTATTTGTATATTATCTTTGTGCCAGCCTATGTATAATTCATTTTCCTAAAGTTTCCCTTCACTCGAGGTTTTGCTTATTTTTTATTTCTTTGGATGTTCGAGCTTCGCTGTGCAGTATGATGTTTTTGCAGAGTTTGACACTAAAAGGCTGTTTTCACATGTATCTGCTCGAGCGGTAAAGTTTCTCTCTGCTCATCTTAAATGAGAGCACAGCTAGTCTGGAAGCCAATCAGCGTGAAGTGTGTTCACTACAGTTAAGAAGAAGACATTTTTCTAGAACTTAAATGTGTTGTTTACTTCACGAAGGAGTAGATGCAATTTTAATAACTCAGACCAAAGTCATTTTTCGGGAAGAAAAGCAATATCACGCACAATTATTCTTAAAAATGTATCCAGTGGATATTTAATTTCTTATGCTGTTTAATATTAATATGTTAGAATTGTAATGATGTATTGTATTCAATATGGAGCTATGTTATACAGAAGTTATGTTATTCTCTGAAAACCAAACAAATCTGATGCCTCACAACAGCCAAACAACAGTACTTTAATTATAACACATCCGACTTATGGCGCATTTCCACTGCAGCGGGTAGCCCCGTTTAAGCGTCCTTAATCGTCCTCAAGCGGCCAGGCCAGTTTTTGGTGGCCTTTCCATATAGCGTAGCACCGGCTAGCGGGTACTTTTTCCGTCTTTTTCCGGCCCCATAAAATCGTGGTTCTATCAGGCCAGGGCCAGGGCTGAACTAGTGACGTCAACACTCTCGAATGCTGATTGGTCAGAGAGAATCGTCACAAGATCGCGCGCGAGATCATCCCTAGCGTCGCATATACAGTGGGGAAAAAAGTATTTAGTCAGGCCAAATTGTGCAAGTTCTCCATCTTAAAAAGATGAGAGAGGCCTGTAATTTTCATCCTAGGTATACCTCAACTGTGAGAGACAAAATGAGGAAAAAAAATCCAGGAAATCACATTGTCTGATTGTTAAAAAAAATAAGTATTTGGTCACCTACAAACAAACAAGATTTCTGGCTCTCACAGACCTGTAACTTCTTCTTTAAGAGCCTCCTCTGTCCTCCACTTGTTAACTGTATTAATGGCACCTGTTTGAACTCGTTATCAGTATAAAAGACACCTGTCCACAACCTCAAACAGTCACACTCCAAACTCCACTATGGCCAAGACCAAAGAGCTGTCAAAGGACACCAGAAACCAAATTGTAGACCTGCACCAGGCTGGGAAGACTGAATCTGCAATAGGTAAGCAGCTTGGTGTGAAGAAATCAACTGTGGGAGCAATTATTAGAAAATGGAAGACATACAAGACCACTGATAATCTCCCTCGATCTGGGGCTCCACGCAAGATCTCACCCCGTGGGGTCAAAATGATCACAAGAACAGTGAGCAAAAATCCCAGAACCACACGGGGGGACCTAGTCAATGACCTGCAGAGAGCTGGGACCAAAGTAACAAAGGCTACCATCAGTAACACACTACGCCGCCAGGGACTCAAATCCTGCAGTGCCAGACGTGTCCCTGCCCCTCGCTGAAGCCAGCTACATGTCCATTTAGATGATCCAGAAGAGGATTGGGAGAATGTCATATGGTCAGATGAAACCAAAATAGAACGTTTTGGTAAAAACTCAACTAGACGTGTTTGGAGGAGAAAGAATGCTGAGTTGCATCCAAAGAACACCATACCTACTGTGAAACATGGGGGTGGAAACATCATGCTTTGGGGCTGTTTTTCTGCAAAGGGACCAGGACGACTGATCTGTGTAAAGTAAAGAATGAATGGGGCCATGTATCGTGAGATTTTCAGTGACAACCTCCTTCCATCAGCAAGGGCATTGAAGATGAAACGTGGCTGGGTCTTTCAGCATGACAATGATCCCAAAAGCACTGCCCGGGCAACGAAGGAGTGGCTTCATAAGAAGCATTTCAAGGTCCTGGAGTGGCCTAGCCAGTCTCCAAATCTCAATCCCATAGAAAATCTTTGGAGGGAGTTGAAAGTCTGTGTTGCCCAGCGACAGCCCCGAAACATCACTGCTCTAGAGGAGACCTGCATGGAGGAATGGGCCAAAATACCAGCAACAGTGTGTGAAAACCTTGTGAAGACTTACAGAAAACGTTTGACCTCTGTCATTGCCAACAAAGGGTATATAACAAAGTATTGAGATGAACTTTTGTTATTGACCAAATACTTATTTTTCCACCATAATTTGCAAATAAAGTCTTTAAAAATCAGAGTGTGATTTTCTGGATTTCTTTTTCTCATTTTGTCCCTCATAGTTGAAGTGTACCTAGGATGAAAATTACAGGCCTCTCTCATCTTTTTAAGTGGGAGAACTTGCACAATTGGTGGCTGACTAAATACTTTTTTGCCCCACTGTATCTGTTTTCAGTTCTGATATAGGAGGGAAAGCTTGTATATGAATTTGGGATTGTTCTGTGATCCAACAGCATGTCTTCAAGTGTAAAATGTAGCGTGTGAGCTCATGGCCCTATGATTGAAGTCCATGAGGGGTTTTGTAAACAAGTCACAGTGCTGGCAGAAGCAGCCGACTGGCAGCGATCACATTTTTTTGGGTTTGTGTTTTTTTAGAACATCAAACAGCTCAGGAGAAGAGACATCCTCGGGGAAAAACACTATGTCCCGGATGGTGAGGTAGTTATTTCACATCAGATCTAATTCCATCTATTCCGTCATCATACAAGCTCTAAGTACGAGGCTACTTTCAGACGTTTAAAGTGCACGATGAGTTGAGCTCTCCAGGCTCTAAGGGTGGGTGAAATAAGAGGGAGGGTGGAGCTAAAATGAGAAAAGATGGAGGCGATGGCAGCAGGAACCTCTGCTCAGGTTTCACTGCCTTACCTCAACAGATCCGTTCAGTTACACTGAAGAAGTGCTATTGAAGCAAACGCATGAGAGGATAAGTAAACAATATGCTGATGCGGCTATCACTAAATATTTATATCCACTCATAATTAATGTGGGTGCTATGTAGGGCTGCAACGATTAGTCGACATAATCGACGACGTCGATCATAAAAATTCGTCGACGCGGAATTTTAGTGTCGACGCGTCGTATAAAAACAATCAGAGAGCCGGTAACGTTAATTCAAAACTGCGCAAATGTTCATTTGTAACTGCAATGCACTACAGGAAGTGCTGGGGGCAGTATACTCTCCATTGTCTGCCATGACTGCATTCTGTACTAACAACAAAGAAGAAAGAATACGAACGATGGCGGAAAGGAGAGAGAATGAGGGTGATGAAGAGTTCAAAAAAGCGAGACCGAGAGTTTCGAAAGTGTGGGAGTATTTCACAGACGACAAGCCAAAGAAGTCAGTGAAATGCAGAATTTGTAAAGGGGAATTGGCATTCCACGGCAGCACTACAGTGATGCACGAGCATTTAAAACGCAAGCACCCTGGAACCGTGAGGACTGCTACTTTGGATCATGGGTAAGTTTGAGCAAGTTAGCCATAGTCATGTTTACGTTAGCTTACATGTTGGAAAACAGAACGTCTCATGGTTAATGCTTGCTAAGCAAACGCTATTTCAGTTATGTTGAGGCTGCGTGTCCACCAACGAGCTGCTAAACAGCGCCAAGCTTACAGCGTAGTAGAGCACACTAGAGCTTTATGGACGCTGTAATTAATTCCAAACTTAAAATAATCGTTAGATTAGGGTCTATTTTTTCGTTATCCGACCTAAATTCTAAAAACGATTATTTAAAGTTTGGAATTAAATTACGCGTCATACAATCTAGTGCTGCCTCTAAACTCACGCTGTAGCTGGCGCTGTTTAGGAGTTCGCTTGGTGGACACGCAGCTCAACATAACTGAATAGGTTTGCTTTAGCAACGCATTAACCATGGACGTTCTCGTTTTCCAACATCAGTCGAGATGTTAACCGTAAACATGACTATGGCTCTTGGCCTCAAACTTACCGCATGATCCAAAGTAGGCAGTCCTCCGGTTCCAGGGTCTGCGTTTTAATGCTCGTGCATCACTGTAAGTGCTGCCGTGGAAGCCATTCCCCTTTACAAATTCCTGCATTTCACTGACTTCTTTGGCTTGTCGTCTGTGAAATACTCCCAACACTTTCGACAACTCTCGGTCTCTGCCTTTTTTGAGTCTTCATCACCCTCATTCTCTCTCCTTTTCTGCATCGTTCGTATTTCTTTCTTCTTTGTTGTTTAGTACGTGCAGTCAGGCACAACAATGGAGAGTATCACTGCCCCAGCTTCCTGTAGTGCATTGCCGTTACAAATGAACATTTGCGTCAGTTGTGAATTAACGTTACCGGCTCTCTGATTGTTTTTATACGACGCGTCGACACTAAAATCGGCGTCGACGAATTTTTTATGATCGACCCGTCGTCGATTATGTTCGACTAAAATCGTTGCACGCCCCTACTGACGGGACGCGTCAGAGATTTCCACTCGGAGATCCGCAGCTATTTTACCAACTCCAGGCAAGTGCTGCAAGATTCCTCCCCTCAACACCAATGCCTCCTATTCTCCTTCTGCTCGGAGAGAACATTCTGCGTCCTCATAAGGTGCGTGAACAGTCGTAACGGGCCCTCCGACCTCACCATACGCCCAGCGCCCTTGACCTTGGCTGGGTCATAGTTGGAGAATACTGCCTGGATGGGACTCACATTCAAACAATGTAACGTCTACAAGACCGTGTCCTTCAAATGGACGCCCATCCTTTTCTTAACGCGTGCAGAAAGCATTCAGGGAACGGAGAGGTTAAATGGTCCAGCAAGGTCATCTTCCAAGCCCATCTCACGCTGGAAAAAGTCCTTATGGAAGTTAGATTGTATACCCCGGAGAAGTGGTGGTTTCGAAAAACACGTTCTCTCGTGGACCCAACTCAACAACACTCTAATTGGAGTTCCTACCTGATTCAGAAGGGAGCAATAGCCGTCACAGCTGACGTAGAA